CTGTTCACTGTCTGCTCACACACACTGATTATTACAGAAAAATAATACGTAAAATGCTTCAGAATCTTAAATATGGATTTGAAATGAAGAAAAGTAGCCCTCAGGCTGAGTCCAATAATATTATGCACAGCACACACAACAGGCATAAACGATTGTTCCACAGAATTTACTTTGATAAAATGTCTTTAACTAAGATGGCAGCTCGCTCAGTCTTTTTTTAAAGATGAAAACAAAGTAAGAAAACCTTCTAGCAGCCTCACAAACTGTACATCTCAAACCTTCTGTCTCTGTCATGCATTAATTCTCTCTCTTTCAGTGGGCTGGAGCAGCTCTCACTGTTCAAAAGAAATGTGCTCCCAGTCATGTGCTGTTTGCATACATTTACAATTAAGTGTAGCAGAGTGCAAATGGGGTAGAAACCTGAATAATTAAACAGCACCAGGGCTCCCTGAATCGTTTGAGTGTGAAAATGTTGTGAATTATATGTTCAGTCACCAGATCTCGGTCTATATAACGGTAGTGGATGGAAAATCTGTGTATCACTCGTTCTTTTTATATTGAAGAATTCAGAATCTCCGCTCAAAACTGGCGGTTCCAATAATGTTGAATGGAACCGGTTCAAGAACCGGGGCTGAATTGGTGGCTAACACTGCTTTCTGTGTGCAGGTGTTGGTTCAGGGTGAAAGGTCGGGCAGATCAGAGAAGACGGTCGACCCCCAGCTCCTGAAGATGGCGCTGGCCCCCTATCCCAAACTAAAAGCCGCTCTGTTCCCCACCGGGCCGCGAGGAAACGGCCCGTCCTCAGACATCTCCGTCTACCACCTCCTGCAGGTACGCTCCCACCTGTCGCCTCAGTACGTTATTAAACTTACAGGATCCAGTCACACACATCAGTAGTTCTTGTTACAGTCAATTGTTGTTGTTATAGTAAATTTAAAATCACATTATTGAGTTGGTGTGTTTTCCAGTCGCTGCATCCTCTGGACCCATCCAGGCTGTTTGGCTGGCAGGCTGCAAACACCCTCAACTCCACCGGTAAGCTCTGAAAACCAGCATTAAGGCCACTGCAAGGTTGTGACCCCTGAGCCTATCAAGGAAAAACGCTTCAGCCCCGATAAAGCACCTTCTTTTTTAGCCATGCTTGCGGCTTCAAACGGAAAAATTGGGTTCAGACGTTCATGAATTTTTAAATACTTTGGTGATCCTCTGATTTTAGATAGATACTTTAAGATAAGAGTTATGAGCATAAATACAAAGCTTAAAGCGTACAGGCTGGTTAACATGTGCATTCATCTTATTTATTCCACAGAAACGTCAGAGCTGCCTCATTTCTCCAGCCCTCACCTGGTCAACAGGTTCGCTCTGGTGGAGAACCTGGACTTCCTGTACTACCTCCGTCATGGCCGGCCATCCTTTGCGTACGCCACCTTCCTCGTCCAGCAGCTGAGCGGCTGCAGCGACGTCATGCTACTGTGAGTGCTTAACTACAGCCATTCAGCCCAGGAAAGTCTAATCGATTAATGGAAATGATGAATTAATAATGCGTGTGTGTTGTAGGCTGCAGCAGGCCCTGCAGCAGGTGTACAGGTTGGCCCTGCAGTGTTTCAACCTGCCGTCTGTGGCGTCAGCGAGCGTCTGTTTCTGTGAGCTGCTGGGAGGCTGCAGCCTGAAACTGAGGGTCGACATCAGAGCCATGAACACCATCCTGCAGCACTGGAACCAGCACAACACACACACTGCTCCGACACAGCATCTACACACTCTGGGTAAACACAACACACACACACTGCAGCACAGCATCTACACACTCTGGGTAAACACACTAATTTGTCTGTTTTCAGTCTCTAAAGGTGTAAAGCTGGCGGAGGCGGAGCCTGGAGCAGCGGAGGAACTGATTGGCTACCTGGAAGCTGCAGTGGCAGACAGCCTGGAGCAGAAGGGCATCAGCAGGTAAGACCGCTCTGATCACCAGACTCCAGAGACAGAAACAGTCATTTTACCTCGCAGATCATTGTAACATCGTAACTTTTTGTTAGTCTTTGGTAGAAAAACATTAATTAACCACAGTAAGATTAGAAAATGTTTGTGAAGCGGTTTGCAGTGACTGCAGCGTAAACTAGCGTTAATCGTTGGGGACAAATACACCTTTACAAGCTAGCCTCATGTAAAATCTTAATTTGTAAAGTAAACAGTAACTGCATATAGTGCATTAAATAGTGTGCATTAGTTTCAGTGTCAAAAACTCTTTTATATATATTTTATTATTCAGTCAGTCAGGTTGGACATTTTAAACTTTTGACGCTTTCTGATTTGTTTAGGAGCTTAATAATTACAGTATCTAAAGGAGGGAAAAGTTGTTTCTGCTGTCCAAAAACCAAAGTGGTAAAATAGAAAAACATATATATTAATAAGAACAAGAACAAAGAAGGTTGTGTGTGTGTGTGTGTGTGTGTGTGTATCAGGTCGTCCTACGAGGCGGCTCAGGAGTGGGCGTTGCCTGTTCAGTTCTGTCAGCTCCACAGTCTGAAGCTCAGCTCTGTTTACCCCGCCCACTGCGCTGATGACGGACAGTTCATCCATTTCCTGTTGTTCGTCCAGCTGCACAACTTCCCGCCCCAACAGGTGAACACACACCTCCACAACATCCTCACATTTAAGCTCTTTGCCTAACAGCACCACCATGTGGTCAGAATGTGTCACTGCAGTCTGTTGCTGATGTTCGTGTGCTGCCTAGCAGGCGGTTTTAGATCACGGTGATCCAGAACTGCAACGCCACACTTGACCCTTGACCCTAATCCTATTTCACTTCAGGATCCTGAGTTAAACTAAATGCTTTGTTACATACTGTAGGAGGTATTCAAACCTAGTATGCAACCTCCCTTCTGACCATATTTGGTTCTTCCTCCAGGTGAGGACATTGGCAGCTCAGTTTGGTCCCGCCCTGCAGGCCCACCTGAGTCTGGCCTTTCAGGACCTGCAGGTGTACAGTCAGAGGAGGAGCTGTGGCGGTGAGGAGCAGTCGGGGTCTCCGAGCACAGAGGAGGCCACTGGCAGCGCGCAGCACCACAAGGAGCTGTTCCACGTCCTCCTGCAGAGCCAGGAGGAGGCGGCGCCCTGCAGGTACCTGCTGCAGGAAGCGCTGGTGCAACACTGCCCGACGCTGGCTGTAATGGCTGCCTGTCAACAGGTAACAAAACACACCTGCTACTATCAAAGAGTCTCTTAGCAAGAAAACTGTTCCTAACAGCGCCACCAGTGGCCGTTCAGTGAACTGCAGTCAGCGTCCTGTTGCATCATCCTGGTGTGGCAACAGTGACAAACACTGAACGCTGTAAAATAACTGACAATCATATTTAGATAACGTTACTATCTGCAATGTTTTTCCTATATTTTATTTGGACCGTTAGCTCCATGCTACTAACTAGCTCGCCGTTTACAAATCATCTTTGTACCACTACATCATTTATTGTTAATATAACCACACAAATAGTTTTTTTTTTTTTCTTCACAGTAAGCTAAGGTTAGTCTGCCATGCTGAATAATGTTAACCTGCAAACAGCTAGATCTGCCCCTGGACACTGGATGAAGCTAGCTGACAGTATTTTGTTACATTACCTAACTAGAAATTTGTCCACGTTAGCAAGTAAGCTAACGTTATCCAGCTAAAAGCACAATCAGACAATATGTTCCACAAGCTTTGCAGTAATGTTAGCTTTGAC